GTAACCAATCAGTTGTTTTAATGGTCATATTTGAATTCAGCACATCAAAATACATAATCAATAGCACATTTTTATCTCTGAAGCAGACGACTTCTCAAAAATTGTAGACCAGTGTTACAGCCAGAGCCATGTCTGTTTTGATCTCTGGATGAGCAATTCTCTGCATTGTGATCAAAAGCTCCTCTGGATTTTGAAGAACTGGTGGCTATGAATCCTTTCCAGCAGATGTTCATTTCGGAATGGGTCTGTTTCTTTGGACAGAGTACTGATTGGCATGTTGTCAGTGCATGGGTATAGGTGCATAACATACAACCTGTTACTTGCTGTGATTACAACCAGCCACTTAAGGCTCTAGGTTATGAGGGTGGATCAGAAGGAAAAATCTTGTACAGGAAATGTGAACTCTTGTACACAAATGCTCTTTGTCTTTCCATAATGAGGATTTTGGTGGTTTGGAAGACAGTTTTTCTAGGTTGCTTTTTTTTTTGGTGGTTTGGAAGACAGTTTTGCTAGGGTAACAGTCCCTTCTTGGATACCGCTGGTGTTTGTAGCCAACAATAGATTGCTTTGCTGGCTTCGACAGTGAGGGCTGAGGCCTCTTTTCAAGCTCAGCTACTAGTTTCTCTGATTTTCCCCCCCAATAGCTCCTCACCTGCAAATTTGCACAAGATATCCATTTAGGATGAAAAATGGCTATTTGTGAGTATAACATGGCTTCCTTGCAACTGCCAAGTTAGAACCTTGCTTGTCACAAATCACATGTTGACCAAGACAGAACCCAAGATGTCCCAATCCAAGCAAGGATCATTCCTTTAGACAATGAGCCACTTATTTGCCGCATAGTAGGCTTTCCTTACTAAATATATGAAAAACCTTTGGTTTGAAAGGCTATTGCTGAGGCTTTGAAATTGCTGTGCTGTGTGCCACCACTACTGTCGTCTATGTGGTCTTTTGGAACAAAGTCCCCTTCAGGTGGTGTGATTATGTCTTTCACTGGTACAGCTACTGCTACACCTTTACATTCCCAAAATGTATGAAATTTCTTTGTTTATATACAAATGTGTTAGCTTAACACAGAGGTCGGCAACCTTTCAGAAGTGGTGGGCCGAGTCTTCATTTATTCACTCTGATTTAAGGTTTTGCGTGCCAGTAATACATTTTAACATTTTTAGAAGGTCTCTTTCTATAAGTCTATAATATATAACTAAACTATTATTGTATGTAAAATAAATAAGGTTTTTAAAATGTTTAAGAAGCTTCATTTAAAATTAATTTAAAATGCAGAGCCCCCCGGACCGGTGGTTAGCATCGAGGCAGTGTGAGTGCCACTGAAAATTAGCTCACATGCCGCCTTTGGCATGCATGCCATAGGTTGCCTTCCCCTGTTTAACATTTGGATCTTATGATGCCCTCAAAGGAGGCATCAATGGTAAACCTTGTATCTAATAAAGCTTGAAGAAATTTTATTAATATGAATGAGTTACTTGCAAGACACTGGTGTACTGTCCTGGAAAATTCAAGCAGGTGTTTGGTTTTTTTGTGATGCATGTGTGGTATTTCTTCTCCTGACTGTTTACAGGGGGAAGGTAGTACAGTGTTCACTCTGGCCTGGGAACCACATAACAGAGGAGGGTACTGGTACACATACCTCAGTTGTGAAAATGTCTGTGGGAGCTGAAAAGCTGTCTGCCTGCTGCCCCAGGGTGGCTAGCACCCCGGTAAGTGCTCTAGGAGCAACCTAGTACCACTCAGGGCTTTCCTCAGTCAGTCAGGATCATCCGATCATGAGAAGGGTATTCTCACTTACCTCCCTGTAATCCCATGAAGGTGCAGCTTTGCGGGGAGTGAAATTAGCCAGACTGCCTAGTGCTCCAAAGGCCTGCGTGTGGAGCCAGCCTTGGAGCAGGGGAGAGGTGGAGAAAGGGAGGCCTCTGTCCCTGGCAGAGCGAGGGCTGGTGGATGAGCACAAGGCACAAATCCCATTCCACTACTGCCTGACTCTTAGCCCTGTCTCTGGCAGAGTGAGGGTCCCTGGGCTGGAAGCCAGCCAAGCACAATTCCTGAGGCAAGGCCGCACAGGAGGGACAGGCTTCTTCACATGCCCAGACATGATGCAAGGGGATGGGGGGTGGTGAGCATGGTACAGAGCCTTGTAAGACAGCATTTGTGTAGGAGAAAAGCCGCAGCAAACACACTCTCAGTGGGAGAAGGTAAAGAAGAAGGGGTTAAACCCCTGATTATCACCCCACTTGCTTTTGCCTTTTGGGAAGCTCCAGGGTTTGCAGCACTTATCCTGAGTATAATGAAACTCCTCCAATTCGTAGTGGGAGGAAGGGGTGCTGGGTAGGAGCCCTGCTACTTTCCCCAAGGAGCAGAGGACCTTCTTCAGTATCTGGATCCTTTCAGGGTTTTTCTGCCTCCAGCCCAGCTGTTTTGTAGGACTTGCCCACTAAGCTGGCCAGATAGCTTTCTCCTTGTGCTTAGGTTCTCTTCCCAAAGCTCAGAAACCCAAGTGGGCTTTTGTGCTTTGAGGTCATGACCTCACAGGGCAGGGCAGGGACCTGACATGCCAGTCTGACTCCGAGCCCCTGGCCCTGGGAACAGACAGGGCATATTTCACCCTCTGCAGAGCCTGTAAGTGCTGCCTCGGATTAGATGTAAGCCATGTGTTTGCAGGACAGCTCAGCCATGCCTGAGTGGGGACAGAGGAGGCTGGCAGGAGGGCGCTGCAGTGACACATCCAGGTGGTTGAAACCTAATCCGGGGGAGGAGGAAACCAAAGAGGAAGTTTGTAAGTCACCACTGCACAAAAATGAATAAAAATAAAAAGGTTTTAAAACAAAATAGGACAAACTGAACGATGAACTTGTTCCACCACCAGAAGCAGAATGCCTGGTGGCCTAAACTGAAGAGTGGAGCTTAGTCCTGGAGGCTCCAGCAACAATAATGGACCATCTCCAGATTCCATAGGCGGAGGGCATTAACCCATGAGTAATCAATTCTGAGACAAGCTATGCAACAAAAAAGAGTGATTTACCACAGAGATATCAATATTGTCAAAGTCTTTTCTGGTGATGAGCAAAACCAATAAACTCCCAAGTACCCAGTTCTGAAGCCCACACAAGCTGAGAAGGCTACCTTAAGTTGGACTACAACTTAACACTGCACTTCTAGCAAGAGGAGGACCACGCGGAGTAAAGCATGAGCAGCCTGTGCTCACTTAGAAAACTGCAGCAGTACCAGTAATCACCAAAAAAGTAGAGGACAAGAAGCCCTTTTGCCATCAAAATGTGTTGGCCTGTATCTCCTCCCTCCTTCTGTGTCAAGAACCCTTCCCACTCTAGCATAGCCATCTACCTTGATTGTTCTCTGAGTGCTATCCCTGGAGAAACTAGCCAGACCCACTCACCCGTGAGATGCTACTACTTCGATGCATGGCAGTTCTCCCTCTGAACTGCACAACCATCATCCTGTTGCATAGTACACTGCTTTGTGGGTGCTCTTTAAGTGAGCCCTCTTGTCAGTGGTCCCAATTTATTGCCGTGGAGGGATGTAGATCATCCCTTTTCACCACCTTCGCAAGGGGTTTGCTGTTGATGCCCCCAATCTATTCCTAAAGTCAAACTGGGTAAAGCCTTGAAGGAGCACAGTCTGGCCTCTGCTCTATCAGTAGCGGCTGTATCTTTCTCTCCTCCCACCCTCCCTCTCACTCCAACCACTATAGAAGTTCCAGGTATGGGTCAATACAGTAACTCCTCATTTAACGTTGTCCCACTTAACGTTGTTTCAATGTTACATCCCTGTTCAATTAGGGAAGATGCTCGTTTAAAGTTGTGCAATGCTCCCTTATAACGTCGTTTGGCTGCCTGCTTGTAAGATTCTATGGAAGAGCAGCTACTTTACAAAGGAGCATTGCACAAGTTCCGCTTCTCCGCCTCCTCCCCCCTCCCTCCCAGTGCTTCCTCCACTGCCAAACAGCTGGTACTTAGGACTTTCTGGGAGGGACGGGCAGGAGCGGGGAAGCGCCGTGTCTTCACTCCTCCCCCTCCCTCCCAGAAAATCCTAAATGCCGCTGAACAGCTGTTTGGTGGCATTTAGGACTTTGGTCGGGAGGGGGGGAGGGGAGGGATGTGGCGTGCTCCAGAAGGAGGTGGAGTGGGGGTGGAAAGAGGTGGGCCTGGAGGAGCGGGGACAGGAAGAGGCGGGCCTGGAGCATTCCCGGCAAAATCCGAGCCTATTCTCCGGGGAAGCTGCCACTGCTACTGCAAAGGTGCTTCCTAGTGTCCTTTCCTGCAGCGGGCTGTGCCTGTGTGGGGTAAGCCAGGGGAACTTCCCAACCACAGTACAGTACAGTATACAGTATAATGCCTTTTGTCTGCCCTAAAAAAATTTCCTTGGAACCTAACCCCCTGCATTTACATTAAATCTTATGGGACAATTGGATTCGTTTAAATTGTTTCACTTAAAGTTGCATTTTTCAGGAACATAACTACAACGTTAAGTGAGGAGTTACTGTATAGCTATAAACTTCTCTCTTTCCTCCCATCTTCTCTCCTTACTTCACAGTCCACCAAAGGCAAATTTCAAAGATGGCCATCATCCCACTTCTCAAAATTTCATGCTGAAATTCTGAATAAAAGTACATTTCTGCACATTTTGCTTCCAAAAAGACCACTGTGGGGGTAAGTATAATTTCTGGAGCATGAGAATGATGAAAACAAACTCTTAGAACTCTCTATGCAAACACTGTCACTTTTACACAGCTCTAGGTTAAACCTCCCTCCCTGTGCAGAAGATGTAAAGAAGCAAATGTAAGATAAAGCCAGTTTTTACCCTCCGACAAAATTGCTGATTGTGTCACTTACCCTAAATGAGAATTCAAGGTTTTCTCCTCCCCATACTTCCATTCCTGTGTCATAGGAGCCAAGATAGTCAAAATATTTCTTGCTGACAGCAAACAATCCACCAGCCATAGTTGGAGACCTATGCAAGAGAAAAATAATTCTGGATTGGGTGTGGGGAGGGGGAGGAATCTACACATACATCTACTATTTTCTTAATTGTTTTCCAGTTACAAAGTAACAATACACAACACATCAGATAAGTATCCTAGTGCTATAACGCTTAAGCTTTATTTGCCAATAAAAATATTGTATTGGAAAAGAGTTTCTGAAATTCATTAAGAATGGACTTGCGAAAAAAAATTCTGGGGAAGTAAATATAATATTAAGATAAACCAAGGTATATTTTAGTGTCACCACAGGACCCAGTTGCCTTCAACAAAATAGGGGCTTAATCTTGCTCCCACTGAAGTCAATGACAAAACTCTCAGACTTCAATGGATTAAGCCCCTAAAGTGGGTATAACCCTTGAAAGGATATGCCCTCAACTGTTTTTTTTTAATTTGTTGACATTGCCTAACTAATGTAATTGGAGAGGCCAAAAAGTGACATAAAATAAGCATTTTGACAGATTCTGAGTCAAGAAGTCTGCCAGGGAAATCCAAGTCTGTCGTTTCCAGTGCGGCAATGCTGTCTACATAGAATTGAATTTATATGATTTTGTCTATAAATTATTTTCAGCTTTTGGAAGAGTTGGCCCTTTTAAAGCAGCAAATAAATATATTGCTGTCAGGACTATATTCTTCTTGCACATAACAAATGTAATTAGGTTGTGATCACTACACCTAGACTACTACTAAATTTTTAGCTTAGTGATCAATTCACATTAGTAAGTCAAAATGAGGTCTAACAGGCAACCCATTTAAGCAGCACGTTCTCTGCCCTGTAGCTGCATGCGGTTCCAGTGGAGCAAGGTGAGGCAGAGAAGACAGAAGAACCTCCACCAGCAGCCAGCTCTCCTGCCTCACTCCAGCACTTGTCCCTCCCCACACAGAAGCCAGTTCCCCCACCCAACACTATTGCTCCCTCAGCTAACTATATACCCTCCAAGATCCATAATCCCCAGAGTCTTGTATTATCTCTTAGCAGCAGCCCCACAAGCCCAAACATTTCCTACCCAGCACCCCAAAACTACCCATTTTTTACCACGATAAAAAATAATCCTACAAACTTTTGTGGCCAAAGGATCTTGTGACTTGGTGAGCTGTGGAATATGTATGTTTAAACTATTTTTTGGGGGTTGTGAACCAAAATATGTTGAGAAGTACTGCACTACTGTCTTAGTTTCCCCTTATTTATATTTCTTAAAAAATAATGCTCTCATCTCTCAGAGGAGATAAATTCATTAATGTTTGTGAGGCACTCAGATATTCTGGTGACAAGATCCCTAAAAAGCCTAGGAAGAAATGAATAATTCTGTATTTGATGAAGGCTTTGGAGGATAGGTTGTAAATAAAGGCAGGGGCCACTAATTAAATGATGAGGATACAAATACTGAAAAGCTGCCTTGTTCCTGGAGCACACTATCCACTGTTGAACTGGAGCAGCCTCTAAGGTGGAGGGCAGAAGCCACCCAGCAACACACAGGATGTTATACAACTGCAGGGATCAGTGGACATTTCGTACAATTACACTGGGCAAACCCTAGCTCTTCCAAAAAATGCATCATGAGCTCAAATTGAAGATCTGTTTGTTGTGTGGGATGTTTGTTTAAAGTCTTATCATAGAATCATAGAATATCAGGGTTGGAAGGGACCGCAGGAGGTCATCTGGTCCAACCCCCTGCTCAAAGCAGGACCAATCCCCAGACAGATTTTTGCCCCAGATCCTTAAATGGCCCCCTCAAGGATTGAACTCACAACCCTGGGTTTAGCAGGCCAATGCTCAAACCACTGAGCTATCCCTAAAACTTCCACACAGAATTCTATGGGCCAGATCCTCAGCTGGTGTAAAACAGTGTCGCTAACTATAGTTCGTGGAGCTACACTAGTTTACACCAACTGAGGATCTGGTCCAATTTTAGCTTGAGAATAAAGGGAGAACCATCACCGTCTAGATTTGAACCTGTAGATACAGCCTGATCTTTCCATATGAGGTGACGTAGCTTTCCTCAAGAAAAGCCTTCTCCAGTAGCTCCATGTCTGGAGGCCTATGCTAACCACATACAATTAATCATTTATTTCTGCCAACACTCCCCAGCTTTACTTAATAGATCATCATAACCTCTTCCTCTTATGTCTTCTGTGGCCTGTGATACATTTCATACAATGTCATTACTCCTCACTGCTTTTGCTGTCTCCTCCTAAGGACAGTATCCTTCCATGTTAGCTTCTCATTCAGGACCCATTATTACAACCCTTATGCATACCTATGTGAGTATGTCCCATTTACTTAAATGAGACTATTTGATGGAGTAAGGACTCACTAATGAATAGGTTGCACTCATTAGCCTGTAGGCCCTGATTCTGCCACCCTCACTCATGCTGAGTCGTAGCTACTCTGAGTAAACCCACCGTTGTTTATAGGCAAGGCTTAAAAAATGTATACAAAACCTACTAGCCCAAGGACCAAGACTACTTGTCAGGCCATAATACACCAGTGCCTTAAGCAGGATGCACCCTCCTGCTCTGTCTCCTCCAGAGCTGTGCCTCTGAAAACATAGAAAGACATCACGACATTGGTTTACACTCTTCATATTTGGGATTTTTTTTGTTTAAATATCATCAAAAGCTGAGATTTTGAACAAACTGATGATACTCACCCAGGAAAAATTCCTACTCACTCTTGATGAATGGATTTTGCCCGCTCTCTTAATAGGACAACTAAGCTACTAATATATGAGTAAGGTTGCCTGTTTCAGTACTATCAATCTTATTATTAACTATTGCCTCTTGCCTGTTTGCCAAGCTTCTTATTTGTGTGCATAAATCACCACTTGCTATTCTCTCCAAGTCTCCTTTCCTTATCTTTTCCCAGTGTTCTTCTGTTATTCCATTAGATTTAGCAGTAAACTTCTTTTATATGGCAAGAAAGGCTTCCTGAGTAAATGCATTCATGACAATTTACATAGCAAAAGTAATGCAGATTTCTTTTTTAAAAGCAAAATTTTGCCAAAAGCATGGTGACTGGAACAACATTAAAAAAAGAAAGAGCAATTTTTTTAAAACTCTATTATTTTCAGTTTCAGTGCTGAATGCTAAGTGCTCAGTTATACACATTCTTTTATTTATCTTCAGCTGAAGTTAAAATTTGTACATTTTATAAAATTTGACATTTAAAATGAAGATACAGCAAAATAATACTCACCTGATTACATCAGTTTTGGACCGTCTTTGTTTTTGTTCCCTCTCTGGGATAACATGCCAAGTGAAGACCAGTCTCCAGTCAAACCCTCCAATCTGTGGCTCCCCAGCATTTCCCAAGTACTCGAACGTATTCCATTCAATCACATCGATCACAGGACACACAACTGCTGACTCATCTTCCCCAATTCTAAATTATTTTAGAAAGAAAAAAAAATATTTGTGTTGACACTAGCAGAAACTAGAAATGACAGGACTAAAGAAAGGGTTTATTAATACAAAAGTAAGGTTTTTACTCCCATTTTACATATATTGGGATACAAGTAACGAACAGTTACTTACAGTAGGTGTGGTTCTTCGAGATATTGTAGTCAGTGTGGATCCCACTGTAGGTGCACGTGTGCCTCATGCACACAAGACCAGAGTTTTTTTGCTAACCGTGTCCATCGGCGCTGCACTTGGGCCCTATGTCTCCTAGTGCTTCTATATAGAGAGTCCTACCAAATTCACGGTCCATTATGGTAAATTTCATGGCCATAGGATTTGAAAACTGGAAAATTTCAGTGTTGTAACTGTGGGGGTCCCGACCCAAAAGGGGATTGTGAGGGTCACAAACCTGTTGGGGGGGGGCATGGGATTGCCACCCTCACTTCTGTGCTGCCTTCAGAGCTGGACTCTAAAGGCTGCAGCTGCAGAAGGTTCCCGGAGGTGGCTCTGAGCTCCACCCAAGAGCGGCTGTGCAGGGGATGGACAAGTCGTGTCCCTCCCCAGCCCAGCTGGAACTAGGAACCCCCTGGCTGGGGCACTCCTAGCAGTAGGGGGAGATTGGACCCACCTCCACAAGCCTCCTCCAGCTGCAGGAACCTCTGGGGCTGCTGCCCAGTCCCAGACCGTCCTGAAATGGGGGAGGCACCCGGAGGTGGGTCTGAGCTCCCCCCACCCAAGAGCGGCTGTGCAGGGGATGGACAAGTCTTGTCCCTCACCAGCCAAGCTGGAGGTAGGAGCCCCCTGGCTGGAGTGCTCCTCGCAACAGCGAGGGAGAAGGGGGGAATCAGATTTCATGGGAAAGGGCTTATTTCGTGGCTGTGAAATTGGTAGGGCCCTATGTATATTAGAGCATAAAAGGCAGAGTGGCTGCGACCTTCCCTCAGTTCCCTCACAATCCAAAGCCCATGTTGCCAAAAATTCCTAAAAGCAGGAATGGAGGGTGTGCTGTGTGACCCACACAGACTACAACATAACACAAAAAATAGTTACTGTAGGGTAACTGTTGCTTCCTTGAATACGTGTCAGTGTGGACAATCCCTCTGTAGGTGACAGACAAGCTGTATCCTCCCTGAATTGTGGAAGTGAGGCATTTCAGCTGTATCTGTCAACAAGCGACTGAAGCACTGCTCTCCTGAATTTGGCTTCCAACCTGGCTGCCATGTCAAGCGCAGAATGTCTAACAAAAGTTAATGGGTTGCTTAGCTGCCTTGCAGATCTCAGAGACTGGCATAAAGGACCAGCATTAGGGGTATAGCAAGCAGGGCAATTGCCCAGGGCTGCACACCACAGGCAGCCACGTGCAGCGGGGCTTGGGCTTCAGAAATGTTGCAGAAATCCCATGTGTGAGCAGGTAAAGGAGGGGGGGGGGAGCACTCCTTAGCTTTTGCCCTGGGCTCCAGCGAGTCTAACACTGTTCTTGCTGGCACATTCCTGAAGGAGAGTGCCTTGATATTCAGTGAGAGAGCCTGACCATTATAGCAGATTTTTATTCTCTGAGATGAGACAGTTTGGTCTTTCGATGTGTCCCATTTCCTCAGGCCAGGGTTAAAGCTAAGGGGTGCATCACTGGAGCTGGGGTTGGTGCTGAAGGAGTTGCTACATTGTAGGTTGCTGCTTCTCCCCAGGCCTTGACACCCTGCATGGCTTGGTGGATTCCTCTCTGGAGACTGAGCAGTGTTTGTCCTTATGGGAGGACACTGCCCTCCTTCTTGAGCTTCTGCCTCCATGTTTGGAGTGGCCCTCTCAGTACCTGACTTCAGCTGCTGCTGAGACCTGCTGGATCTTTCCTCAGCACCATCTTCTCCATGCTAGTCTTAGGCGTCACCTGCTTGTTCAGTGTGGTGCTGGATCATGCTGGCTCGTCCACCAGCAGGATTCCAGAGCTCGTTTCCTTAGGGTCTGAGGAGACCTTCATGGACTGTTCCAGCAGATGGCAATTAAGCCTTGTGTTTCGTGACTTACGCATTCTAGCAGAGGAAGACAAGCACACCAAGCATCTTCTCTGAATGTGCAATTCCCCCAGGCAAAGAGAGACACCTACTGTGCCCATCCTTCAGAGGGATTAGTCCATTGCTGGATGCACAGGGTTGGAAGCCCGCAGGTTTTGAGTCTGCCACAAGAAGGAGCCCTGTACAAAGATGTGTGTATGGGAGGCAGAGTCTGAATAATAGACTTGAGTCCAAATGGGTTGCATCAGTTCATGGTGGTCAAATACAGTAGATCAGAAGTGGCTTCAAAAACTTTAGAAAGTTTTGAAGTTTAGCCTGAGTGAAGAACTAGCAGGCAGAACAGAGGAAGGATGAAGCCACCCAGCCCTTTATATGGACACATGCTCATATGGGAGTATGAAGAAGCATACGCAGCCCTGATGGACACTGCTATTCAAAACAGCTCTATTTTCATGTATGTGATGAGGTGCATGTGCACTTACAGTGGGATCCACACATAACTTGAAGAAATATTGGACATTTTTCCATCCAATCATAGAAATATTTTGCTGTATATTACAAAAAAAAAAAAAGGTAAACTGCCATACAGGCAGGTATAATTACAAAAGAAAGCAGATAAACAAACACAAAAAAACCTGCTTTTTCTGCAAATTAAGACTGAACCAGATCACCCAAAGTATATTCAGTACACAAGTAAGGAACAGTTAACTTATGTTCCATCCTCAACAAAAGGGATCCAGATTCTGAGATGACCTGATTAGGCTGATCTGTATAGAGTTGTATGGAAGGCAATTCACTACATTTTCAGTAAAGAAAATCAGACTATTCATCCAAAGTCCTTCCTAAGACTGCCATCTTCTGGCTTACCTAAACTACTTACAGACTGCCTCTTCATATGTAAGGTTGTTACTTCAATCACTTGATATTAAAATCCTGATTCTTTTAATCACCTTTCCCTGCTGTTTTCCATTTAATCTGGTACAATTAATCTAATATGTCTGGAATTTACCACACATGGTCCTGTCCCAGAGGTTAAATTTAAGGAAAACAAATCAGACAGGTTGTTTGTAATAGGTCAATTAAAAAAAAAAATCAGTGAGTTTGGGGGAAGCTGTCAAACATGCCTAAGGAATTTAGGAGCATGTTTCCATTGAAAGTCAATGTGATGCATGCTCCTAAACCCCTTAGGGCAAGGCAGTTTTGGAAATCTCACTTGTGTTTTTTGTAAAGTTGTACTTTTTGGCCCCTTCTTCAAAGTCCACTGTACTCAATGGGAGTCTATTGATTTTAAATGGGTTTAAATCGTGTCCTTTAGCCTCAGCAAGAGCTGGTGCCTTTGGGAAGGATTGAATATAGTCTCCTATCTGCAATACAGTCTTTGTAAAGTCTGTTGTAGGCATTGTAAATATTTGCAAGTGTAGCTCTGGCATTAGAAGGGGTCTGGATGTGGCTTTGAGAGCAGAAAGAAGAAAAAAGATATGGCATTGTTTACAGAGCCTGAGAGAAGCTAAACTCTGCTGTGGGAATATCTATGGCTCCATTCAAACTAGGAAAAATATACAAGTGTATTTAGTAGATGTGTAGTATATGGATGCAGCTGAAATAGTATTACAAATGTTTTAATGTAATGTAGATGGGGTATTCCGTGATTTGTTGTGTTAAATGAAGGCTTGGATTCTGCATCATTCTGTGATGGAGGTGGCATATGTGTCAAATGACAACTGTAAATCAAAGCATCACTGAGTATACAGGACTCAAATTATAGTGTGTACACACAACCTTAATTCTTTCCCTTTGAAAACTCTTCTGCATAGTGCCTGACCCAGCCCTCTTTATTCTATATGAATATGGAAAGAATAGATTGCTTGAAAACTAGGAAGGCAAGTTCTTCTTTGCCCTTATTTCCAACTTGCTTATGTGTATCTTGCACTGAAATAGCGAACCTCTGTCTAGAACTGAATATCTCTAGAACTGTTCCTTGATCCCTTACCAGGCTAACAATGTGGTCACCAACAGAGCTGTGTGAATAAATGGTTTTTTGGTTCACTGGCAGGTCCAAACAATTGGAAAAAAATCATTTCAGGTTGGACACTTATAGCCTTATCTATTCATAGCAAAGGGTTAGATTCACAAGGCAACTTCAAGCCAGTGGCATTCACAAAATGGAAGAGGAGAAATCACAGTGATGGTGCTCCCCCTTATACTTTATAGCCTAGTGGTTAGGGCACTCACCTGGGATGTGGGAGACCCAGGTTTGATTCCCTGATCTGGAGCAGGGACTTGAGCCCAGTCTGTCCTTCCTAGGTGAGTGCCCTAACCCTTGGTCTCTCGCAATGGTGGGCAACCTGCAGCCTGTCAGAGTAATCAATTGGCGGGCCGCCAGACAGTTTGTTTACATTTGCACGGTCGCCCACAGCTCCCAATGGCCGTGGTTTGCTGTTCCTGGCCAATGGGAGCTGCGGGAAGCGGCGCAGGTGGCAGGGTCATGCTGGCAGCCACTTCCTGCGGCTCCCATTGGCCAGGAATGGTGAACCGTGGCTACTGGGAGCTGCGGGCAGCCGTGCAAATGTAAACAAACTGTCTGGTGGCCCGCCAGGGGATTATCCTGATGGGCTGCAGGTTGCCCACCACTGGTCTATAGTGTGCAAGAAGCAACACCACTGCCAGCTCCTCCAATTTGTGAATGCAAGTGAAACTGTTCACTGTGGAAATATTAAAACTCACCATTTTGATATTTCTGAATTTTATCCTCTTTTTCCCCCAACAGAAATAAGCTGCCAAGATTGACAGAAACTTGCAATATGTTTGGTCAACCCGAATATGCATTTTTCAGTGAAAAAAGTTGTGCCCAAAAAACGTTACCCAGTTCTAATCACAAACACCAAATTAGGTGAAAAGTTCAGGATTCCATATAAAACACTGTCCCCTCTTCCTGGCAACAATTGTTCATTCCTTTAGGAAGAAGGAAATTGGATCTTCGAACCTCTAATTCCAGTACGCTATTAATCTGTTCTATAGAGAAACAAAATTTGCTGTTAAATAAACTGAATATTTACCATTCTGTTGCACTTCAAATAGCAAATACTTGCATTCTCTCAGAAATCACATTGTGGTAACTATTGGTTAACGATGATATTTTCATTACCTCTACAAACACAGGAATTTAACAAGTTTATGATAAAAACACCAGCACATTTGGTATAACTTTACCTTTCCAGTAGTGGTTCAAGCCACCCTTCATGACACTCACAGTGGCAATCAAGAAATGTCAAAACATCCCCTTTCGCAAGAGAAGCTCCCAGAAGTCGAGCTCGAACCAGTCCTTCTCTTTTATTTGCACGAATAAGACGTACCTTGCGTAACCCAGCCACGTAGTTTTCCAAAGGTTTCTTTAAATGGTCTATTACAAAGAAGTTGAACAGATCACTTTAAAATTATTGTACATAGTAGATTATAAAAAATAGTATTTAAAGCACTGTTGTAATACACTGATAACAGTGCTGTGTGATCTGGCCTGTAGCCCTTCTCCCAATCCTGCAATGTCCCCTATACCTGGACAGGGCAAGGGAACCGGCAATATAAAACTAGGGTGGACAAAAATCATGATATCTTGTTAAAAATAGATTTTATTTAAATCAATTTTTAAAATTTAAAATCAGACTTTTATTTACGTGTTGCTAGTTCTTAGCTTTCTTCTTTTCTTACAGCCTTTAATTGCTAAGTGGATGATTTATATTTGTTTCTTTAAATTAGTTTTCTAATTGTTAGTAGTATTTCCAATTTAAAATTTTTTTTTTTTACTAAGAAGTTTCACACTTAAAATGGTCATTTATGCTATAAAAAATAAGTTATGGGCCCAATACTGCAACATTCTTATTGTGAGAACACCACAAACTCAAATACAAAATTGATAAACAAATAGCCCATATTACATTTGCAACCAACACCTTCCAATATATTGAACTTCCACGAGTCAAGAAAACTGAAATGCTTTGCCCATGCTGTTCTCCTCCATTAACGTTTGCAGTCTGAAATCAATAGGATGTGTACTCTTAAATCACACAGTGCTTTTGAAAATACCACATTTTAGGAGCCTAATCCTATTTTGAACATTTTGGCCTGTGTGTACAAAAAAAATTCACAATAACTTTGTTCATGTATTGAAAGTTTAAACAGCTTTTCTTTATTAACTCTGAAACAATTTTGTTTTGAAGTGACAAAGATTTTATGCCACTAATAGTAAAGTTTTTTAATACAAATATAATTTAGATCCTGATGCTGCAAAGTTATACACTTGCTTAACTTAAGGACAAGCTGCCCCACTGAAATCAAGAGGAAATACTCACATGACTACCCACTGAAGGGTTTGGAGAGTGAGGGCCTTAATTTTCAATATTTTTGGTTTAGATCAAGCCTCAACTTGACCTAAATCAATAATTTAAAACCAAACAAACAAAACCACCAAATGATTTAAATTATTATTTTAAATGGTTCCATCTTGTATTAAAGCAGCTGTACCAATTTTACACCAGTCAAAGATTTCTCTATGTCTGGGGAAAGGCTCAGCTGCAAGTTTGAGGGAGCTAGTTGCACTGCTCCCATGGCGCAAAGGGGACTTAGACAGGACCAAAGATCCTGACCCTGTATTTCCAATTGAAAGATGTGTGTGTGTGTAGCTGGTATAAAATATTTTTTGAAAAATGAATTCTTTTCAAGTGTGGTTCTGCTCTGAAGAGTGACTATTTAAAAAAGGTACCTAACATATCTACTGCAGGTGAGACTGAGTTCTTCAGGTCAAGGACAACGTCTTTGTATGGAGTATGCATCATCCCTAGCACAATAGGGCCCCAACACTTTGGAGTCAAGTATCAGAGGGCTGGCCGTGTTAGTCTGAATCTGTAAAAAGCAACAGAGGGTCCTGTGGCACCTTTGAGACTAACAGAAGTATTGGGAGCATAAGCTTTCGTGGGTAAGA